TGTTTCTACATGATCCATAATTCTTTGGTGCTCCTGCACACTATCTACCAGCAACACGGTATTGTTCGCATATCTAATACTTTGTATAAGTTGGTCATTGACTGTAATACCACCTTCTGATTCATCCAAGGCTTCTCTAAAGATGTTTTCAGAGTATATGTTAAATAGTACTGGTAAGAGCATCCCTGTCTAACTCCTTTTCCGACTGTTAAGATCTCAGGCAAATAATTTTCGAATCGCACTGATGCTTTTCGTAGTGGCTATAAGTTTAAGATTAGTCCTATATCCTTATCATCGAGTCGTGTTGTTTTTAGGTTATCGATTAGTTTCCCATCTAGTACTTTGTCAAACGCCTTCTCGAAATCAAGACGCCGTTGACATCCCTGGTCTCTCTATATTAAAAATCCAAACTGAAAAGTGCTCTGACTTTCTATTAGCCCATTAATGTTGGTATATTCTTATTGCTGACTTCTTCTTTGGTATTGGTAACCAGAGACTGGTGCATGATGTTGATGGGTTTTGAAATACATTTTTCTTAACTTTCTTTGTTGATTTTCCATTGTACTCTGTGCTCATAGTCTCGGGCTTGTTTGCATATCTAAGGCCCGTCAAAGTCTCTGTTTTTGATGTAAAAATATGATTCATAACTTCAAGTAAAACAAGTCAACTGTCAAATGTGCTGAAACAAGCGCCAAATGATAAACAAAACAAAATATTTTCTTAATTTATAATAATTTTTAAAATGATTTTCGGGTTGAAAATCGAAATGTCAGAAACAAATAATGTAACATGTCATTTTTATTACAATAGTTGACATATTTATAACCTCGGCTATTTGATATCAATGATCATACCATAAATTTTGATAATGATTCCTGGACACTCATCGTCAAACACATTTTTCCGACTACGAAAAAATCAGCTTTCCAAAATTTTACTGTTGCTAATAACAAAGTAGACTGGCCATAAAAACATCCAGTTCGGTTTTTTTATTTCTCTTGCTTTTCTCCTATAAGTGAAGATACTTGACTGAACAATATTCGACTTGTTCAATTTTTCAAAACATTACAATTTTGATGCTTTCGATGACATTTAAAAATAAACTAGAGGCAATGGATTTTGACAAGAACTATGAGTAATGCCGATGCAGTACACAAGTTTACCTGTTATTTACAAGGTCGTAGCTCTTGTCAAAATCAATTACCTATAATTCTTTTTTTTTTAATTTGGACAGACGTAATGCGTTGAATGACATGTCCAAAACGGATAGTAATTCGTGCTCGTGTAATATTAATCGCAGGCTAGATTACTGCCCAGTGCCCAACCACTCGTTAAATAAAATCAAAAAAACTAGTCGCTACATAAAAACTCGAATTAAAAGTTTTTGAAACTGTAGTAAAATTGATATTTAACTCTTGAATATTAATTATAATATACTTAAAACTACTTACCTGATCTTACAAACCAGCTACTTGTCAGAAAATCCAAATGTTTAGTAGTAGTTTGTATATGGTATAAAAATAAAAGCAAAACTTTTTACATTGTTACACTTCAATACGGTTTCAAGGCCAAACTAGTTGAATGTCTAGTATAACTGACACAAGAATTGTTTGTTGGTCAAAAATCGACAGCTTATTCGAGAATCAATCAAGAATCAAAATAAAGGCAACAAAGAGCAATGGGAGGGCATATGGTAAAGATTTGTAGATTGCAAGTGTGTGCGGAAAACTCTAGTAAAATAACAGCAATTATCATACAATTAAAATAGATTTCCTAACTACATCTCTACACGTATACTTGTGGCTGCATAAATGCAGAAACGACAAATTACCCAAAATAAAAGCAGTCGGAGATCTTTTGAACTTTTATATCCAACTGATAGATAATAATTAGGTCAGTGCGAAGTTAGCAATGAACTAATGCAATTTTCAATTTCTTTTGGAAATAATAGCATAAAGTGAAATTTTTGTTAACGTTTCAAATCAATAGCCCCCGTCAAAATGAAATTATCTAATTAAACATATAAATCTATTTAATAAACTACTCCTACTAAGAATTTCCACATTCATATTCCACAGTTTATTATCCTTCTTTCAACCTTTCTCTCCAGCTTTTCTACCTTGGTAATTTTCATATTGCAGGTTTCTCCTGTCCACTGCCTCGTCTACTTCATCTGTAAACGATTGTCGACGTCTTTCTTTCTTCTTCTGTTTTTCTTACGAAGCTCTTGTTTATCCCGCATCCCGAGTCCATTCTCATTACTTGTCCGTACCAGGCTAGCCTTTTTTCCTCTATACGAGGTTTATACTAAAAGTTTAGCATAAATAAAAGAATGTATGGTATATAACAAACACATCGTCGAATTCTTTATGCTAGTCCGAAATACGTATCTCAGAAATGAGGTTTTGTATGCCTTGACCGCCTCATCTGGCGTGTTGAAACATTTAAGAAAATCACAGATTACTGCGCAAAATAAAACAAGAAAAAAGCACAAAATCGAAATAAAATGTAAGTAAAAAGAAACTTAACGCTATCGAATCTAAAAGGGGATACATCCCCTTTTAGATCCCTTCGAGAACAAATATACAGAACATTATCTAAGTTTAAGTGAGTATCTGCCACACTACCAAAGATTTTAAGAGAAAAACAATACTATTTGTAAATGGTGGGAAATAAAAATATGGGTAGGAAAAGGAAATAAATACATCACAACAACATTTACAACAACAAATATACTGAGATCTATTATTTACAAAACTGAACACAACAACACAAAGGAAAGATTAAAGAAGTACACTTGTGAATGGAACAATTTTTATATGGGGTAAACCTTAGGACCACTAAGTGTTAGGATAAATGAGCATAAATCATACATAGCATTGAAAACAGAGACTTTGGCAGATCCCAGATATGCAAAGATGTCTGGAATAATGAGCACAGACTACAATGGAAAGATGCATCAATAATCATAAAAGAAATTAAAAAAAAACGAGAAGCAGAAAGAAGCAGTCCTCATCTTACTTAATAAAGAAAAATGTGCCGCAAAACCATCACAGAATGCACCAAAAACAAGAAAATCAAGGAAACAGACCTCATCTTACTAAATGAAGTCAAATTTGTAGCAAACACATCAATAAAATGTAGCAAGATCTGGTAATCAATACTATAAGACGAAATTACCAATAAGAAAACAACAACACTAACGAGTTAAAAGCTGGAGTGAGACCATCATCTTTGATTAACTACTACAAGCTACAGAATGATCAAAATTTGATATAAATCCGAGGGTATATCTCAGAATTTCTCCTCAAAACATGGTCTATATCTATCAGATCGAGACCACATAAGCCAACTGTCAAATTAGTATTATCAGAAGAAATTTTCGAAAATCATATTTACGAAGTTGAGTTAACTCTGTGCAAATATAATCTCTGTGTAGAATCAATTATAATCTGAGTTCATTCGCAACGTTTCTCCTTACAGATTCGAACTCAAATTCTGTTTATAATAAAATTATTATAAACAGAACTATTGTCAGTTACAGAAACAGTTCTTTTTTTTCTTAATTATTATCCAGTTACTTAATCACCATGTTGGATATTTTCATTTTTGCTTTTCTTCCCGTCAGTCCGGCCAGTTCCACTTCAGCCATGCTATACGCTCTATGCCATCTGTGACGTCTGTTCTTCTTATTTCTTCTGTTCTAACTCTGTATCTGAGAGTCAGTCCATTCGTTTTTGGGCTACTCTGAGTTTGGTTGCTAGAGCGTGGGTTAAAGAAAGTGTTTCGGCGTCGTAAGTCATGACTGAAAGTACAAATTGGTCGAATGTCTTCTTTTTCAAATAATTTGGCAAGTTGCTCTTGAAGATGTCTGATAGAACTGCATATGCGGCTCATGCTAAAGTGATTCTTTTTTGCAGTTCAGCAGTTTGGTTGTCCAAATTTGGATTTCATGACCGAAGTATTTATACTTATGAACTAATTATAATTCGTTGCAGTCGACTTTAGGATTTTCGCTTGGTACCAGATTTGTCATGTATTGTGTCTTTCCAAAATTTATCTTCAAACGAACTTAATTACATGCGGCATCTAACTCAGTAAGCATAGTTCCAATGTCTTTTAAGTTATCTTTTATAAGGACAATGTCGTCCGTCAATCGTAGAAGGTTAATCGTATAACCTGGACCAAAAACCACCATATCTATAGACAAACTAAGGTTTTAAAATAGGGTAAGATAGAATTAGTTTATTTCCAATGTAACAAAAATATACAGATCCAGTTTTGTTTATTTCGATAAATTTATGTCGATTAAAGATATGTTGATATTTGCAAATTTTATTAATAAAAATTTCACTTTTCTATCTATGTGCAATTACTTATCTAAACCATTGAAAAACGGGGATGTCAGAAATAAATGGTTTTCTAATAACAGGTACTATTTTTTATGTTATATTTTAATAACTTGCAAAACAAAGATCCACAAGAAGGACAATTTGATAAAGAAGTATATTAACACAACCCGATTGATAAAAATATACTATTTTACACATTATACATATATAAAACGTCATAGGAATAAGGAAATTCAATTTAGAAAGTACATATACTTTTATAGTGTAGATTAACTCAATGTACAAGCATATAACAATACACTTCTACACCTAACTTTTAGCCACAATCTACAATAGCAATTAAGATAAATATAAAGACAATAATTTAAAAAATGTACATGGGGATTTAAGAAAATTAACGATTTAATGACTTTACAATATTATGGAAAACAACGAAATAAAATACGAATTTTAGCTTTAAAACGATTATAACTATTTTCATTGGAAGTATAGTAAAAATTAAATATGGCACTCTAATCAAGCTATAATCACACATTGTTATCGTGACACCAAAACGTTTGTTATTCAAACCAATCTACTACCAAGTATATCTTAGCACAAATACCGTGTTAGTTACCTTTAAAACTGTTTAAAGACGGAACTATTTACCGTATGATTAGCTTCCGACCACCTCCTGTGCATATCACCCTTCTCGCTATTCTCCTTCGCGGTTTCCAACACCACAGTATCACTCTTATGCTTGTTTCTCAAACTATTCTTAAAGCCTTCGAAAAAGTTCAGTCTCGAGCGTGGATTATTGTTTTTGCTATCGTTCAAATCGTCTTCCGATGGGATACCAATGGTGTTAGCCTTGTGAACGTAATGGTTCTTTTTGTGGGACTTGCTGGGCTCTGCGGGCGATCCATGAGGTAGGGCTCTTCTTAGGGGCGCCACTTCCCACACTGATAGGTCGGATAAGGAACTAGCAGGTTAAAGAAAGAAGAGTAAATTAAAAAGAAAAAAGCAAAGTTGGAGAAAAACCAAATAAATTAGGTTTAAAAAATAAAAATAAAATATTAATTGTACACAGCAGAGCTCTGATAAGTTACATTAATGCATTAGTTTGTTACAATGTAATGAAATTGAGAATTTATTACTGCAAATATACCTATCATCAATGTTTAAAATTTGTTATATGCGCTAATAGCTATTGATACATGGCTCAAAAGCTACAAATAATTTACTTGTAACTTTTGGGTCCAGGTTTATACCAGATGACATATGTGCACAAAAATCTCGGTGTAATGGTCACCAAAATCTTCGTATCTGCCCGAGAACTGTTTAACTTATCACATAATACAACTCTTTAAGGCCAGGTTCCTCTAAAAACGTGCTTTTAAAAAATATTATAGGTGAAAGTACATACATTAAACTTGAATGTTTTTTCAAAATGGAAACAAATGTGGAAATTGAAGAAGAATTAAAGAGAGGAAATATAATCAGGTACATAAAATCTCTTCGCTAGAATGGACAGGACATATACAGAGACACCCATATTCAGATATGGTGAACAGGATAACTGACTGTACACCACTTTGGCCCAGGTGTAGAGGAAGGCCTAGAAGGTGGCTGGATGATGTAAAGAATATTATAAGAACAATGAACGTTAAATACTGGAAAGTTCAGTGCAAGGACAGGAAGAAATGGAAAAGAGTCACGACTGCAGCAAAGACACAGAAAGCTATAAATGAAAAAGAGGAATAAGCCTCTCCCAAGAATAGGATTTTGAACGCCATGGCGTTAGCTATAATCCCTAGGGATTTTAAAGCTTAATGAATGAATGAATTAATTTACCAGCCCTAACAACTATATATTGGAACAAGCAGTTATTTTGCGAATATAATGAAAATTTACCGAAATTCTTTTATTTATATTTTTTTTTAAATTGTTAATATGAAATTAGCAACATTTTTTATGATGTATGGTATTATTTTTGCAGCTTAATTATATACTTTATATTGAATACTATGTAATTAATTGTTTGATAATCGAAAACTGCTGACAACTAAATGTTGGAACATTTTTTGCTTTTCCTCGCGTTTTCTTAAACTTTATCAACCTGACACAAAGAAGGCTTTGAAATCAAACATACGAGTAGGTAGTGAGTGGTGAACAATAATTGCCATGGCTCATTTGAGTATGAATAAAGACAACTGTCAGTTTTTTTATGAGTAAAATATAATAATGGAACGTGGAAATCCTACTGATTCAAAAGTTCAAGAAATTATTATTTATCAGTATCATGAAGGGAAACCAGTGCGTGAAATTTCCAGTGAATTGACTGTAGCAACAACTATGGTCTTTAATATAATTAATAAATATGGTGAAACTGCCAGTATTGACGTTTGCAGAAAAAGGCCCAGGCCATCCAAAAGCTGTTTCTCAAAGAAATGCATTTAATTCGAATATGTAAGTCGGGAAGAAGAAATACACTACGAGAAGTAACCGTTAGAAGGAATAAAGAAACTGGGATAAATGTTTCCAGAGAATTATGTTGCAAATAGATTGCAAAGTGGTCTTAGTTTTTATAAGGTATGTTTGATAGGTTCTGCTTTGCAATATAAATTATCTGTTTTTTGATTTATTCGAGTAGGCCAAAGAAAAACCATTGTTGACGGAAACTCAAAAAAGGAATCGTTACATTTGGGCTAAATCAAAACTTTCGTAGACCAAACTTAACTGGGACAAAGTTATCAATAACGACGAAAGCAAATTCGATGTCTGTGTGGGAGATTAACGAAAGCGAGTGATTCGGCAAAAAGTATAATTCGAGAAGCATTCTATAAGGTTTTTCTTTAATGAACTGTAAAGTTTCCAGTGGGCATCATGGTGAGGTTATATGTCGGCAAAAGAGTTTTAAATGTTACATTTTATTGAGACCATAGCAAACGCAGCTAAATATCTATATATCCTTGAATATTGGCCTCTACCAAGTGCGGCATAGTTATATCCATTCGGAGATTTTATCTTTCAGCATGCATACGGCTAAATCTATCAAATATAGTTGGGATAACATGACATTAAAGTTTTGTCACATTTTTCTAACAGCTCGAATCTTAATCCAATAGCGACACAAAATGAAACAACGCCTAAGAAATAACCCTCAGCGTACTTTGCCACAACTACGTGTTAAATTACAAGAAATATGAGATAGTTTCACCCCTGAATTCTGTGAAGGCCTAGTTGGTACAATCCCTAATAGAGTTCAGGCCGTTTTCAATCTAGGGGCGACGTTACAAATTATTAATATTTAGTTTAATATGTTAAAATCCTCTTGTTCCAACATTTAGTTGTCAGCATGTTTTGGCTATCAAACAACTAATTAAATAGTAGTCAACAAAAATTACATAAAATAATTCCATATACTGTAAAAATAATTCCATATATCATAAAAAATGTTGTTTATTTCATATTTACAATTAAAAAAATTAATATTGTTCTGAAGCTATTTTCTTGTGGCATTGTAAATTAATTACTATTTAACTGGGAATAAGCCACAATTAAAGATAAAAATACGTTTATTGACGTTTCAATTTCCACTTCGGAAATCGTTCTCAAAATACAAACAGTAAATTAAACAAATTTTGTTTTTTGTTACATAGTGAAAAATTCTTCTAATAATTTAATTTTATCTGACTCATTTATATTGACAATTCAGACATACATTATGCATTTTAAAGTAGACGACTTTAAAATGATATTGCCAATATTGTTGAGTTGCACTCCTGGGACGACTTTACTTATAAGATAGTTTATTCGATTACATGAAATCAACTTTAACTTGAGAATATCCGTCAGAAAAAAAATCATAGCATGAAATTCGTCTTTAAAAAGACAAAAACATGACATGATGACAGTAAAATTCTCCTTAGTTCATTAGTTAGTGATTCCATAGTAAATTATGAGGGAAAAACCAGGAAAAAAAAACCTCATAATACTATCCCGACATTGTAAGTATTTGTTCGTGAATTTAGTTTACCTTCAACAAACATCAAAATTCTGATTTTATATGTTACGTTATTTAAAAAACATAAATGATGTATCCTCTATATGTTACTGACTTACTAATACTGGTATTTTCTTATTAATAACTTCCTCTTTCAATATTGGTAAGCAGATCCTACTACATTCTGCCGAGAAATATTTGCGACACAATTGGCCTCATTTAGCATAAATTAGAGCCGCTTCTTTGATTTTTCTTTTTTTACCATCCGTTTCTTTTAGGACTACATTTGAATTATTCCATTGAACTCTATGTTCATTATCCCATGCGTGTTTACATATTTGAGATCTATCAAATTCTCTATTTTTAATATAAGATTGATGTTCACTTATTTTAACATTTGATGGCCTTGATGATTCACCTAAATAAAACTGATCGCATTCACAAGGTATTTTATAAATGCAATTCTTTGTTCTTTCTCGTTCATTGTTAGGTTTGGTTTTGGACGATTTCCGAAGTGGAAATTGAAACGTCAATAAACGTATTTTTGTCTTTAATTGTGGCTCATTCCCAGTTAAATAGTAATTAAAAAAATTAACATAAAATAATTTCAATAAATTGGTATTTTATTTGCAAAATAACTGCTTGTTTCAACATATAGTTGTTAGGGCTCGTATTCGACTAATAAGTATTATTTTGACAGAGACTATAAGGTCCTTTAGTGAGATTGTAACAATATTATTATCATATATACATAAATCAACATATTAATCATTAAAACATGTAATCAGTTGAAAAAGTCTTTCTCTCTTGCGAATAAATACTAAAGTAGTTTGTATAAAACTGATATCAAGTGTTAAATGTTTAATAAAAGCTTTTGATAATAATTATTAAATTGAAAACATTATTTTGTAGGCCATACATATTTTTAAACTATTATAAAATACCAAATAAAAAAAATCCGATTAAAATTCCTTAAACACAACACAACCTGAACCTTAACAAGCTGAATTTTGCCAAGAATATTAATTTTGGGACCTCAAAAACGATGCAACAAAGTTTAGCAGTTTTACCCCAGGCTTCCCCCTAAAACACTCCTCGCAGGGGGTAAAAACGCAAAAAAATTTACCAAGAATCTGTACACCGTAGAAAAAAATGTTTCAAATAAAAAATGTAGTTGAGAAAATTTTAAATAAAAATTTTTATAAACATTTTTTGTGTAGAATAAACCGTTCTCTTAGAAACAACGCTTGAAGCGACTGTCGATTTTGATTCAAGTGACCTATCAACAAAAATCAAGATGCGTTTTAAAGGTAAAGAGTTCAGCTTTCGTATGTAGTTTTTCTATTTTGCCGCAAATAAACTCATATTTTATGCAGATGTTAAATAAATAAACGTGGCGCGATTATTGGCATTTTTTATGATTCTCTCGAGATCAATACAATAGATTCCTTTCATTGAATGGTCACTATGACGTTTCGATTACTAGAGCCTAACCTTTAAAACCCATAGCATGAAATTTTAGTTTTGAGTTTTGGCAACAAATGTGACACATTTGAAATAAGCTTAAAAATGCTGGATTTAAACTTTCACATAACAATCTATCGCGATCTAAAACATTTAAAACTTTTTTTTCATTTACACTAGTATGTTTTTCAAACGAACAACACTTCTGCAATAAACTACACTCAATCCGTCTTCTTAAATGCATTTCCCGTGACGGGTGATCCTTTGTCACATAAAAGATTAAATTCTGCGTTTTTTATTCATATTTCAAATGCCTCATATTTGTTACCACAACTAAAAATTGAAATTTCGTGTCATAGGTTCTAGAGATTGATCTCTAAAAATGGAACTTTTACTACAACTGGTCAATCAAAGTGATCAATTTTATTGATCCCACGAGAATCGTAAACAATGGCAAAAATCACGCCACGTTAATTTATTTAACATCTTTATAAAAGCTGAGTTTGTTCTCG